AGAGAGAGAGAGAGAGAGAGAGAGAGAGAGAGAAGGGGGAAGGGACTGTGCCCTCTCATGCAGAGAGTCACATGGTGTCCCTGATTGGAGGAAAATGAGTAAAGACTGCAGCTCTGGCTGAAATGGCAACAGACAAAAACGCACAAAGGCTGAGCTGTTTAAAAACGGGTTGCACAACAAGAGAGCCTGGAGAGGAGGAGGAGGGTGTGACAGAGGGGAAGAGAGAGGGAGTGAGCAGACACCGAGGAAAGATGTGGATTAAGGGAGGAAGAGGAGGAGGAGGAGGAAGCAGGAGAAAGGAGGGAGAAGAGGTGATGGGGGGGGGGGGCAGAGTGCAGAAGAGCCAAGAAAAGAGAAGCAAGTAGGAGATGAACACTGTAGGAGAGGGAGGGAGATGGAGTGGGTGAGACAGAGTGAGAGAGAGAGATCAGACTGTGTTTCTATGTTTTCTGCAAGGCTGAGCGGTGACGTGATTGGCTGAGGGTGTGTGGGGTGGGGGGGCAGACCTGACTCTGAGATCAGAGACAGACAAAATGGCTCCCAGAGAACAGAGAACGCAGCATCAGGGCACTGTCATCTCCACTCACACAGCTGCCAGCTGACACCAGCCGCCGCCACACACACTCTCGTGCACATCTGTCACACACACACTTAAATCTAAGCTACCTGCAAAATGCCAGGGAGAAAAGGGGGTGGCGGTGTTGGGGGGGGGAGTGCAACAGTGAAGATGATGGATAATAATATAGATCATTAAGTTACTACAGCACATGCATGATTCTTTTGACACTTAAAGTAACACACTCATATAATATATTTCAATGCCAAACTGCCTCACGGCTGAGCCTTTTCCTGATTTAATCCCTTCACCTCTTGGCCTGTTATAACATGTGACGCACTTGCCGCTGAACTTCCCAGGTTGCAGTGTGTCTGTGTTTGCCTGCCAAAAAGATCCTGAGTAGGGAATTCACCCAGTGAGTGAGAAAAAAAACAACTGTAGGGCAGCATGAAAACAAAGACACTGGCTCACTGTGGCCACGAGAGGGCGCTGCTATCAAAGGACAAGCTGCAGATTGTAGGTCAGTCCGAATTTTCCACAGTGATTTCTCCTGACTGTAAAGCAGATGAATGAGTGATGGATCTCTGCTGAGCAACAGCAGATCCATTTATATTCAGTGTCGCTTGTTTTGATTGTCGCACTTTTGTTTTCTCTTGCAAATGAGACGCATCAATAACAATTTCCCGTCTGACAGTTGAGCTGTAGGGTGCAAGAGATTCAGATCGTTTAAGTAAAAGCAGTCAAGTCCTTTCAAAGTAAAAGTGCCCACTAAAAAAAAATTACTTATAGTATTTAAAAACTATTTATTTTTCCGAACAAAATATCAATAGTCCCTGTGTTAAGCTTCATTATTTTGGACAGGGGATGTTAACATTATCTATGATTTAATAGAGAGAGAAATTAATAATGTATTAATATTAATCCTATTATACATTTTTTTTAATTAAATA